TCTCTCTCCCTGCTCACTCACTCATATACAGTACATTGGCTAACTCTGTGCTAATCAAAAGTTAAACACAAAACTAAACCAAAAATTTGTGTTTGCTATCAGTTTATTGTAATCGACATATATTTTGATAGTAAACCAGAATTGAATTGAATGTGTATTTGGCTGTCATTGTAGTGAAGGCTAGAAAACCTGAATTCCTCGCATGTATTGAATGACCCAATATTTGCATCGATTATAACGCTGTCTAGTATTCGCCAAATGAACTACAATTCTGGTACTTTTGCATCCATTCACAAATATGAGCATGATATTCTTGTGACACTTTTATAGAATTTTAACAAATTATTATTATTATTATTTTAAACATAATTACCTATAATCAACAGTATAATTAATGCAAATATAATTATTTTATTTTTTCAATGAATTCTTAATACTGTACCCGTATAAAAATAGGTTTTTTTAAAATAATGACCTTGATGCGGTTTACTAATCTATATTTTACAGGAAATAATAATCATATTAAAAATATAATTTAGCACTAATTTTTAATCTAAAATATTAATATTTATTTTTGGAGTTAGCATACAGGAATACAAATTTTAATTGTAACGCATAAATCTTAGGCTAAATAAACATAAAACGTAAAATTCACATTTAAACTCATTATTGCAAACTAGGTGATTTAGCATGATATCTTTTATTAATCTTAAATATGTTTCATTCCATAGCAATCAAAGCCACAATCCTAAACATATAGTAGATTTGAAATAAAAAATTATTAATTAAAATAGTGTATCATACTGTATTATGGAAATAAGGTCTGATTCCCTGAACATTTTATCTTACCATAATCTTTTTAACAATTTGTTGAAGATTTGGATATTTTTTCTCCAGATTCATTTTAGTCATTTTATCGTTTTCGCATTTGTCAAACTTGATTTTATAAACATCTATTAAAATGTAATTAATTTAATTCAATGTTAAGTACCTTATCGCCCAATGTTTGATCGCATTCAATCTTGATCATCTCTTTGTAGGTTACTTTGTCCGTTATATTGGCCACTTTAATCAAGCACTCCCTTTCTATCTGTTTCAACTGTAATTTTAAGGCAATTTACAAGTATTTACAATAGTGTATATTAATTAATATATCAACTATCAATATACTATATTAATTACTTATTTAATAATATACAATATATATAATTTTGTTCATAAAGTAAAAATAAGATTATGAATAGATTAAGAATGAAATTGTAGTGAATGAATGAACCTCTTGTGGTTCGTGTTTCTCGCACGCCTCCAACTTGGTCAAAGTATCAGGGTTCTCCTCATTGCAGTATTTCTCGAAA